TGGAATTACAGATGTACAGCACCATGTCCAGTTTTTATAGGTTTTTTTGTGCTTGTTTGTTTGTTTTTTGCACTCTGGGGATTGAATTGGGGCATGCTAGGAAAGCCATCTAGGCAGGTGCTGAACCAGCAACCTACACTCGCAGTCCTTACTAGAGTTTAAAGTTACTGATAGTCTTTCAAGTAAGACTAATTTTTTTTTTTCCCAATACTGGGAATCGAACTCACAACCTTGCACTTGCCAGGCAGGTGCTGTGCCACTGAGCTAAATCCCCAGCCCCTAATTTTTTTTTTTTGAACTAAGATGTAAAATGTTTATTAAAACTAAGATGTAAAATGTTTGTTAGTGTAATTTTGACTTTTATTCATGAGTCTAACTTTGCAGAGTTCATTGCCCAATTTTAAACAAAATGAGTTTTCTGTTGTTCGACAACATGAGGAATTTATCTGGCTTCATGATTCCTTCGTTGAAAATGAAGACTATGCAGGTTATATAGTAAGTATTGAGATTTCATTTTATTTATGTGTGTGTGTATGTGTGTATTTATTTGATACCAGAACTGAAACTCAGGGCCTTGTGCTTGCCAGGCACTGTGCCACTGAGCTATATCCCCAGCCCTTATTTATTTATTTTTAAGAGTAGGAAAATTTATTGGGGAATAGGAATAGTTCCTGAGAGCCAAGAGTCCTGAGTGGGTTGCCCTGAGATTTCACTTGTTTTTTTTTTTTTGGTCTTTTTGAGACAGTGTCTCGCTATGCAGTTCAGGCTGGCCTTGAGCTCATTTTGTAGCCAAGGCTGGTCTCAAACTCTCAACAATCCTCCTGCCTCAGGGTCCTGCGTCCCCGAATGCTGGGATTGTAGGTGTGTGCTGCTAGGCCTGGCCTTGGATACATTCTTATGCATTGCAGTCTTGCTTAGCATTTTTAGTAACTGATGTGATTTTATACAGTTGCCAGTTACAAATTATTGCGCTGTTGCCTTTTATCCTGAGTGTGGAGCTGTGGGAATATGTTAAGCTTCTTCATTACAACTTAAATTCTTGGTGTTAGAACTGAAGTGGGAGGGGCTGGAGGTTTAGCTCAGCGGCAGAGCACCTGCCTGGCAAGTGCCAGGTCGTGAGTTCGATTCCTGGTACGGGGGTGGGGGGAGGAGAACTGAAATGGGCTTGTTTTAGGGATTTTTTTTTAAAATGTCTTTTTAAGACAGGGTCTTGCTGTGCAGTTCAGGCTGGCCTTGAGCTCATTTTGTAGCCCAGGCTGGTCTCAGACTCACAATGACCCTCCTGCCTCAGCATCCCAAGTGCTGGGATTACAGGCATGTGCCGTGGTTTAGGGATTAACTAAGGGGATATTACAAACCATATTGATTTTGAACCTTTGGATAAGTAATTTAGGAGTTGGACTACTCCTGAAGACGGGATAATCAAGAATGGATGGTTAGGTTATTCTGCCTCAGCTGTTGTGTGCACTCAGATCAGTGACATTTACCCTCATTTGATTTCCCTAAGGTGTCATGGGCCAATCCCCTCTCTGTCCCTATGGCTACCTCTCCTTTTCAGTCATTTGTTTCCTTTCTATAGCTCAGAGGTTGGTGACTGACTGGTAGCATGTTCTTCTTTTCTCATTCTGCTTCCATGCTGTCCCGTACCTCCTTGTGTGACAGTATTTCCCCCCTGCCTCCTCTGCAGGCAAAGCATTCCCAGAGCTACGGCTGTGCCTTGTTTACTGCCACGTGCCGGGTGCTCAGCGTTGTGCCTGGTGTGTGGTGATGCTCAGTGAATGTTTGCTGAACTCTTGATTTTTCTTTTTGTTTGTTTGTTTTCCAGTACCAGGAATCGAAACTCACAACCTTGCGCTTGCCAGGCAGGCGCTGTGCAGCTAAGCTAAATCCCCAGCCCCGATTTTTTTTTTTTTTTTTGGGTACTTGATGCTTTCTGACCCTGTTACTTTCCTGGTTGTAACCCTTTTCTTGTAGAATTTTTAAAAGTTTTTAATTTCGTGTGTTATTTTCTGTAGTACTGGGGACCTTGTGTGTGCTAGGCACATGCTTCCACCGAGCCACATACTTAGCCTTTCTTATAATTTCTGCTTAATTGTTCTTCCTTTTATCCTCCTTGCTCTCTGTAACTTTCCTTCATTTTGTCTTTAATAATTCTTACTTGTAGATCTTTATTCTTAGGATAATTTTTTTTCTTACATTGTTCCCTTGAATAATATATTTTTTCTAGAACTTTTTAAAATTTTTTAACTTTATTGGTACATTTTAGATATGCATAATTCATTGGGGAATTAATACGGAATTTGTACCCATACATGATATGTCTTCAGTCTTCTTTTTGTCCCATTCCCCTCCCCTCCCTTCAGCCCAGTCTTTTTATTTAAGATAAATACTTACTCCCTGTTTGTGGATAAATAGAATGAAGTTAGTCATTTGTCTGTCTTACTCCTTTTTGTCTTTTGAGACAGGGTCTTGCTGTGTAGTCTAGGCAGGTCTTGAACTGACTCTGTGGCCCAGGCTGGCCTCAAGCTCATGATGATCCTCCTGGCTCAGCCTCCCAAGTGCTGGGATTATAGCCATGCATCACCATGCCCCACTCTGTTATCTTGTTTTTACAGTCTTTCTGCTGCTAGACCTCTTAAATCCAGGACTTTTTTTTTCTTTTTTTTTTTTTGAGACAAGATCTTGCAGTGTAGTTCAGGCTGGCCTTGAACTCACTATATAGATGGTGATCCTCCTGCCTCCCGCCCTCTGAGTGCTGAGATTATAGGTGTGTGGCACCACACCTGGCTGTAGTATTTATTAATTTTTTAAAAACACGGGCATAAGCTACTATAAATTCATTAATTTTAAAAAAATGCAGTTGTATTTAATCATACCCTTTACATACTCTTGAAAAATAGCATGCTTATTTACTGTACACATTCATTTTTATCTTTTTTTTGGTCTTTTTGAGACAGGGTCTCACTATGTGGTTCAGATTGGCCTTGAGCTCCCAGGCTGATCTTGAACTCACACTGATCCTCCTGCCTCAGCCTCTGGGACTATAGTCGTGAGCCACCATGCCTGGCTAACATTTATTTAATTTTTGTTGTTGTTGTTGTTGTTTTGGTATGGGGGAATTGAACTCGCGACCTCACTCTTGTCAGGCAGGCACTGTGCTGCTGAGCTAAATCTCCAGCCCCTCATTTAATCTATTATCAGAATTTGGGACACATAAGAATTTGAAGACTCTAGGCTGCCATATAGGAGTGTGAAGATTGAAGTTTGACAGCTGCTCTAAAATCAGAAAGTAATGCTACGTTCTGTTGCTTCTTTGGCATAAAGGACTTCAGCAGTCTTAGTTTTTAGAACTAGTGAAATTGTCTAATCCGAATTTGAGTGTTTCTGTTGCTCATCTCACTGAGGATACCTTTAGCTTTCTCAGCACAGTAGTGTAGGGTCGTAGTGGTACAGTGCTGTCAGAAATGAAATGTTCCCTCACATTTAGTGATTCGGTTTTGTTCTAGATCCCTCCAGCACCACCAAGGCCTGATTTTGATGCTTCAAGAGAAAAGCTACAGAAGCTTGGAGAAGGGGAAGGGTCAATGACAAAGGAAGAATTCACAAAGATGAAACAGGAACTGGAAGCGTATGTGATGTTTTCTGTTGCTGCTTTTGTTAACTGTGCTTGTTTGAATGCCTTTTTGTGTGCTCTGATACCCTGTTCTTTCAATCATTTCACCGCAGTGGCTCTTTTGGAAAGAAGAAGGGTTGTGGTTTTTTTGTGGGTTTTTTGTTTTTTTTTTTTGGGTACCGGGAATTGAACTCAGGACCTCACGCTTGCCAGGCAGGCACTGCGCCATTGAGCTGAACTCCCGGCCCCAAGATGCAGGTTTAAGTCACACAAATAGTGTTGATGATCATGATCAGAGCCGACAGGAAAATTACAGAATAATTGTCTGTATTGTAAAATTCTTCAGTGTTTTAAATAGACTCTGAAAATTGAAAACAGACTATGAGTTTATGAAAGACTAGTAAAAAGGGACCATGGCTTTTAAAACAATGAATATTTTTAAAAATTTACAGGGCCTTAGTAATTACCCATCTAATTGTCTTTTTTCACGTTCCGTTACTCATAGAAGGTACTGAGCAATTTGCATGTTTTCTGTGCAGTTTGCTCTGGTCCTTTCTCTATCTGTGGCTTTGGTCAAAAGGGAAAGAAATAGAAGCAAAATAAGTAGGGAATCATTAAGACTTGTTTCTCATTAACTATTAGTTTCACGTGTACTAGAAGCATATTAAGTTCTTGGAAAAGTGTGATAATTTATTTCATTTTTAGCCTATTTACTGAAAATATACAATCTTTTCCCTTTTTTAATTTAAGATTTGAATTTTAGGTTTTCAATTTTCCTTGTGTTCTTGTTACCTCCATTTCTTTTTTTTCTGTCATTTCTCCCCTTCACACATTTCCTCTTCCACTTAAGTTTTAGTTTCCAAGCATATTTTGCAGCTGGGGCTGAGCTCAGTGATACAGTACTTGCCTAGAGTGTGTGAGGCTCTGGGTTCAATCCCTAGCACTGAACAAAAGTTTAAAAACTGTAAGCGCACTGCTAGTAGCTCTTTAGAGTGCTGAATAAATTCTTTTGAAATGACAAATTAGCAAAGTAGTGACTGATATTTTAGGAATTCTGTCAGTGCCAGGTGTAAGCAGTAGTCTGATGGCAGATAGATATATACGTGAAGTTTATAAAAACAACTGGAAATTAGCAGAGCACATTAATAGTGAAGAATCTGTGATTTTCCAGTGGCCCTGATCATGGTTCTTTTGTGGTCTGGTTAGGGGTTGGATAACAGAGAGCCTTGGGTTTATTCTCCTGCTACCTCCATCCTCTGCATCCTTCTTTTTTGTCTTCACTGAATGACTACCCTCCCAAAGATCACACTTCTCCCAACACTGATCCTGCTGCTTTGCTGGTATGTAAAACTTATCCTTCTTGCACGTAATTGCAGCAAGAATATCGGGCCTTTTCCTTGAGTGCTTTTCCCCCATCAAACACGTGTGTTACTGTCACTGGAATTCATTGGTGGTATTAAAATATCTTAAAACACGTTTCTTCAGTGTAATGGCAAAACCCAGTCTTTCTATGGTGAGTTTCCTTCTTGTGTGTTTGAATCATTAAATGAGAATAATTATTAACATTGAAAGAAAATACGCTTACTGAGTTTTGATGATTTTTTTGTACTAAGTTGTTTAAAAGCAATAATTATATAGAATTGAGTCAAGGTTGTATCAGATAAATTCTGTGGAGCTAAAAGCAGATACCTTAGTAGTGACCTTTAATGTCAACTTGGATAGTAAGAAGTTTGTAAAATTTAAAGATACTAACAATTCGGTATAATGAATACTATTAACTGGTGTGAAGTCTCTTTCAGTGCTGGACTTTATATGTTTAATAGGTAGCTTAGCTAAAAGCTTTTTTACATGAAGGTATAATTTTGTAATTTTGTGTTTAAAATAATCTAAAGATTATTTGCCAAAAACTGTATGATGACATTGTAGTTGATACAGTTTTTTACCTTTAACTTTGTATGTTGTTTCTAGTGAGTACTTGGCGATATTCAAGAAGACAGTGGCAATGCATGAAGTGTTTCTGTGCCGTGTGGCAGCTCATCCTATTTTGAGGAAAGATTTAAATTTTCACGTCTTCTTGGAGTATAATCAAGATGTGAGTATCAGACTGATAAAAAGAGTAGTTGAAGTTTCTTTTTAGAGTCATTGGAAAAGGCAGAGAGTAGTTAGAAAAATGTAAGGCCTTTTTAAGAATGCTTTTGTTAGGGGCATGGTGGCACATGCCTGTAATTCCAGCACTCGAGAGGCTGAGGCAGGAGGATTGCTGTGAGTTTGAGGTCAACGCGGACTACAAAGTCAATTTAAGGCCAGCGTGAACTGCATAGTGAAACCTTTTCTCAAAAAAGACCAAAAAAAGTGAATGCTTTTATTTATTTATTTTGAACCTAGGAATTGAACTCAGGACCTTGCACTTGGCAGGCAGGCTCAATGATGCTGAGCTATCCCTGGCCCCTGCCTTTCCTTTTTTTTTTTTTTTTCAAGGCATTTGAAAGTGGCATATTGTCAGTATTTCTTTCTTTTTGTGTGTGTGTTTTTGAGAAAGGGTCTCACTATGCTGTTCAGGCTGGCCTTGAGCTCACTTTGTAGCCCAGGCTGGTCTTGAACTCGCAGTAATCCTCCTGCCTCAGCCTCCCGTGTGCTGGGATTACAGGCATGTGCCACCATGCCCAGCCTGTCAGTATGTCTAAGTAGCACTAGAGTAATTAAGAGAATGATGGAAAATCATATTACAAGTTGAGCATTCCTAATCCAAGAATCTGGAATATAAAACCTTTGTGTTTTGTGGGGGGTTTTGTGTTTGTTTATTTGTTTGTTTGTTTGTTTTGAGACAAGTTCTCACTATGTAGCTCAGGCTGGCCTCGAATTCCAGCCATCCTCCTGCCTCAGCCTCCAGGTGCTGGGATTACAGGTGTGCGCCACCATGCCCGGCTAAGTTTCCGATTTTAGAGCATTTCAGATTTCAGTGATTTGGATTAGTGATGGTTAGTCATTAAATCCTAGGCAAATATTCCAAAATCCCCCAAATTGCAAAATCTGAAAGTCTTATGTCCCCAAGCATTTCTTATAACAGATACTAAGTCTGTACTACATAGGACATTGATTTCTTCATCCAGAAGAGTGAACTTAGGTATGTTAACAAATTTTTGATGGCTTTGAAAAACCAAATCATAATACTTAACACATTAATTTTGAACAATAAGAGATTCAAGTCATAATACATAAATAACAATATGCATGACATTTATAAAACCAATTTTGACATCATTTTGACCAGCTGGCAACTTGGTAGAAGCAAGTCTTTAATTTAGATAACATTTATCTGTAAGCTAATTAGAGTATAGACAATTGCTTCAAAAAATCAAAAAATAGGGGCTGGGGATTTAGCTCAGTGGCAAAATCGCCTGCCTGGCAAGCGTAAGGTCGTGAGTTTGATTCCTGGTACCGGAAGAAAAACAAAACAAAACAAAACAAAACAAAACAAAAAAATACAAAAATAAGAAAAATTTGTTGAGCTCAAATAAAACAGCTGTTTACAGATTGGACAGAGATACAAACAAAAACACACAAGACAGAGCCAGTGTGGTGGCGCATGCCTGTAATCCCAGCACCCAGGAGGCTGAGGCAGGAGGAGGAGGAACCTTGAGAGTTTGAGTCCATCCTGGGCTATAAAGTAAGCTCAAGGCCAGCCTTAACTACATAGCGAGATCCTGTCTCAAAAAGACCAGAAAAACACACACACACGTGACATTTTGCTTATAAAATCAGAGTGCAGCTGTGTGTATTGTTGCTCTTTGGCTGAAAATTTTTGGCCCATTTTACTCGTAAAATGGCTTGTTCACAGTGGGAAGAGTAACCCCTATCCCTTGGGGAATGCTTCTGTTCCCTCTCTTCTCCAGGCATCCCCGGCGAAGTTTATCTTCTATGAAGGCCTTCTCTGTCTCCCACACTTTGCACTGTAGGTAGACTTACTCGATTAGGATAACAATTTCCAGTCCAGGGATTTTATGTCCCTGTTCTGAAGTGCCAGTTAGCAATATTTTCCCAAGTAATAAATGATGTCAATCAGGAGAACTACCTTTAAGTTGGCCTTTACTGTAGGAGTGTGGTGCCTGCAGCTGCAGTCTCCTTTTAGTTAATTTAGTTAATTGGGGTTGGGGCCAAATGTCCTCATCTGTGTCCTTATCTTGTCCTTTGAGGCATCTCAGCTTCACAGGCCAATACAGACCTTAGCAGGAACCGGTGACTCACAGAGGTTCACTTACTATGAGTCCACTGCCCACCTCCAGACAAGGTGCCTAGGCTTTGACAACACACAAGTAAACGTGGAAAGCAAATTAATTGGTTAATATTAAATTCTACTCAGAGCCACTTCATAGTGGTCTCCATCATTTTACCTCTTGTAGAGTACCTGCTCTGTCATTGTCAACACATCTTTTGACAGCCCTCTCCCCTCCCTTCCTCAACCCTTTCCTTCTCTCCATTTTTTCTTCCCCTCCTCCTCCTGTATTTTTTGAGAGAGGTTCTCACTGTAGTGTGGGTTGTGCTCAAACGTGCTATGTGGTCTCTGCTGGCCTCAGACTCATGATCCTCCTTCCTCACCCTCTGGAGTTCTGGCATCACAGGCATATACCACCACACCTGGCTGCTTTATCCCCTGTTCCGTAAAAGCTAATCTCAACACATAGCAGTTTCTTTGGATCATACAATAATCTTGTTTACAGGGAAGTGGAAGCCAATCAAAAATTGAGTCCCCAGGGGCTGGGGATTTAGCTCAGCGGCAAAAGCGCCTGCCTGGCATGCGCAAGGTCGTGAGTTCGGTTCCCGGTACCGGAGAAAAACCAAAAAAAAAAAAAAATTGAGTCCCCATTCTACTGTGTTCTCAGCATCGACCACTGTGGCAGCTACATTTATTTATTAGCTCTCATGTTCTTTCTTCTGCTTCTTTCTAGTCTTGATTGCTTTGCTTTTTCCTGCCTTTCTGCCCGTTTAGAATCTGTAATACAATGTTAAGTAGAAGTGGCAGCAGCATACATTCTTCTTGTTCCTGACCTTGGGGCAAAATACTATTTCACTTTTAAGGATGATGTTAGTTTTGGGCTTTTTAGTAGATATGCTTTTATCAGGTTGAAGCAGTTGCCTTCATTTCCTTGTTTATTGTGAGTGTGTTTGCCATGAGAAAGTAAACTCATGAGATGATTGTATTTCTCCCCTCTTTTTTCTGTTAATAGGGCTGACTACAATATACTTTTCCATTTTGACTAAGATAACTTGGTGAAAGACCGTACTTTCTGGTCTTTTGAACATTTTGTGATTGAGTGCTTGACTCTGCCTACTCCCAGTCTCTTTCAGGGACTTTCCCCCCCATGCCTCTTCATTTACGTTTGTCTTCTCCCAGGGTTCTCATTGAGTTGTGTAGAGGATTGAAGTTCTTCTAAACTCAGATTGTGTGCATTTTCTATAAGTGATCTTACAGTCCTGTGGCTAATGTCATGTCTTCATACTGCTGTGGTTACTAGGTCCCAGCCCTGTATATTAAGCAAGCTACTAATAAGCTCCACTGAACTGTCTCCTTAGCAGGAAGAAAACAGACTCTTCTGGTGCTCTGTCTCTCCCTCTTCCCATCCCTCTCTGTCCCTCTCCCCTCCCCCAATCCCTCCCTCTCTGTCTCTCTCTTATATATATAATCTAAGAAGGTATTGCTGTCTACCTATTTCCTTAAATCTGAAAATTGTCTGTTGCTTTCTAATCCTATGAGGAGTTGCTTACTATAGTAGGAAAGTGTCTGCTTTTTTCCACTGCCAGGTCTAGGTTAGTTCCAACCTTTTATTTTTCTTAAATTCTTGCCTGAAGGTGACTGACAGCAAGGCTAAATCAGTCATACTGCTTATTTACCTTTAAAGGTTATCTAGTTCTATTTTTTTAAGACGAAGTCTCACTATATAGTCCCGGCTGACCTTGAACTCACTGTATAGCCCAGGCTTGTCCCGAACTTGAGGTGATCCTCCTGTCTCGGCCTCTTCTTGTGCTAGGATTACAGCCATGAGGCACCACGCCTGGCAGCTTTCATAAATTTGGCCTAGGTTATTGTAACAGCTGGTTGTCCACCTTTACTCTTACCTTTCCCTTCCCCGAAGTCTAGACTAAACTTTTTGGGTGCTCCCTTCCTCTGTACCAAAAAGAACGGGAGGCCAGGCATGGTGGCACTTGCCGGTCATCCCAGCTACTTGGTGTTTCCCATTCTGTGTGTGTGATAGGATTGAACACAGGGCCTTCACATTGAGCTGTACCCAGGCCCCCCCTCCTTTTTTGAAACAGTCTCATTAAGTCACCCAGGCTAGGGTGAAATTTAAGAACCTCCTGCCTCAGCCTTCCAGAGTGCTGGGTTACAGGTATGTATCACCCTGCCTGGCTCATCCCAACTACTTAGGAGGCTGAGACAGGCGTATTACTTCATTTAGCCTGTGACTTCAAGACCAATTTGGGCAACATAGACTCTCATCTCAGAAAAGGAAAAAGAATATTAACCACTTGATAATCATCTTTGTATCTCAAGCACTTAGTACAGTGCATGTTGCAATAGATGTTAATGATTTTGTTGCATGAATTAATATCAAGAATACAGGTTTTGTTTGTTTTGAGCGGGTTTCACTGTGCAACTCAGGGTGGCCTTGAACTCACTAGGTATCCCAGGATGGTCCTGGACTCAGCAGTCCTTCCACTTCAGCCTCCTGTAGGCCAGGTGTAGTGGCATGTGCCTGTAATCTGAGCACTTGGGAGGCTGAGGCAGGAGAAGGGACACAGTTAGAGGGCCATCTGGGTACATAACAAGGCCCTTTCTCAAAAGCCACATGCACACACAAAACCAGTGTATGTCAGAAAGTCTAAAAAAGATACAGCAGTAAATTCTGACTAGGAGTTTGGAAGGGTTTATATGCCTTTTAATTTGGATGTTTAATTTGGTCTGAGAGGTTCGTTTTGTTTTTGTGGTGGTAGTGGGGATTGAATCCTCAGATCCAGGCTAGGCAAGCACTGCCTCTGAGCCACACCCCTCCTGACCAGACTTGATGGGCGGAGATGTTCAAAATTTGATTTTACAATGCTATCCTGGGCAGCAAAGTGGATTGGAATGAGGAGGTGAGGGTTACAGATGAGCAGCCTAGGAAAGAGATGGTGAGAACTTTCAGTAGAACACTGAGAATAGAAGAGGTTTTGAAACATTGGCTGGTAGAATTTAAGTGGTGAGAGAAAGGAAGAAGTTGTACAGGATTGTAAGGTTTTAGTAAGTGCAGCATTGTAGAAACATGTTGAAGTTTGAATCTGGTTGGATAAAGGGGTTATGAATGCAAGATAGGGAGGTAGGAGGAGGAAAAACCGAGTCAGATTCCTAGTACCAAAAAAAAAAAAGAAGTGATAGTTGGGTGAGTTCAGAATAAGGAACACGTGCATGGCTAAAAACTGGGACCCTTTTGAGGTTTCCACTTAAACGTGTACAGATAAATGAGGCACTGCTTTCTATTTGTTCTTGTTTGTTTTTGAGACAGGGTCTCACTCTGAAGTTTAGGCTGGCCTTGAGCTCACTGTGAACCTCCTGCCTCAGCCTCCCAAGTAACTACTTTTCATTTGTAACTTACTTATTTTTTGAGGTGGTCTCACTGTGTAGTTCAGGCTGAACTCACTAGTAAGTAGCCCAGGCTGGCCTTGAACTCTTCATGATCCTCCTGCCTCTAGAGGCCTCCCAAGGGCTGGGATTACAGGTGTGTATCACCACACCAGGCTGCATTTGTAACTTTAGAACATGCTAACTTAAATTGCCTTTCTTTCAGTTGAGTGTTCGAGGAAAAAATAAAAAAGAGAAACTTGAAGATTTCTTTAAAAACATGGTCAAATCAGCCGATGGAGTCATTGTTTCAGGAGTAAAGGTGAGATTTTTGTTTAATTAGCACCCTTACTGGTTTCGAATTTATTTTTAGGAGGGAAATAATACTGAGACTTCAGATACACAGAATAGAGTAAAAGAAAAGTTTGAATAATAGAATCCATAGGCTCCAATGAAATTGCTCCTGCCCTGGATCTGTCTGTCTGTCTGTCTGTCTATCTATCTATCTATCTCTGTCTCTCTCTGTCTCTGTCTGTCTCTCTCTTTCTCTCTTTCTCTCTCTTCCTCTCCCTCCCCCGTCTCTGTCTCTCTGTCTCTCACACACACACATACATACCCCCGTATTTCCCTGCACACACACACACACACACGCCCGTATTTCCCTGCCCCAACCCCGAGCCGCCTTCCAGGTCCTGCATGGGCATCTCCCCAACCATGCCCCTGTGTGCTTCTCTTACGCTTAGGTGGGTAGGGAGGCCATGGAGCAGCGGGGGAAAGATGAGCGTGCAGGGTGGAATGCCTCCCACATGCACACCCAGTCCCTCTGAGTACAGGATAGACAGCTGCAGGGTGAGGCAAGGAATGAGCCTGCTTGTGTGTACAATTAGCCTTCCAAATATTAGGGGGAAACTTAGATTCAGATTTGGAATAATATCTTAATTAAGGTTTTGATATTGTCTCCTGGAAGCTTCATGATCTTGAGAAAAGTTAATTTCCTTCTCTGAATCACAGTTCTCCATTTTCAAAATGGGGTTATAGCCAGGTGTGGTGGCGTACGCCTGTAATCCAAGTACTTGGGAGGCTGAGACAGGGATTGTCTCAAGTTCAAGGCTAGCCTGAACTACATAGTGAGACCCTGTCTCAAAAAAACAAAAGAAATCCAAAAAACAAACCAAAGTGAAGTTGTTAATACCAACTGTGTCTGGAATGGCTGAGCTACTACTGATAGTTCTCAGCAGAGAACATGGAGCACCCAAGGAATGCCCTGAGGGCATGGAGTGCCCCAGGCAAACATGTTCCAGCCCAAGAACACCTGGCCTAAGAGGTGAGCTAGTTAAACAAAGGGATGTCACATGACATCAACCTGCCAAATGTATAAATAAAAGTGCACTGCGGTGGTTGAGCAGTTTCTTTTCTCCTGTCAGGAGAGGGATCCACCTGACCTTAGCTTTCTGTATATTGTCTCTTATCTTTATTTCTTCATCCTGTCACCGTCCTTGGAGAGCTTGGATGGACAGGACACACCTAGTTTATAGGATTGTTGGAAATATTGAGATAATATATATGATGGCTGGGCGTGGTGGTGCACGCCTGTAATCCCAGCATTTGAGAGACTGAAGCAGGAGGATGGCTGCAAGTTTGAGGGCACCTTGAACTATTGCACATAGCAAGACCCTGTCTTGATAAAAGAAAAGGAGATAGTATATATAAAAAAGCCAGGCAAGGTGGTGCACACCTGTAATCCCAGCACTTGGCAGGCTGAGGCAGGAGGATTGCTGTGAGTCCAGGGCCAGCCTGAACTGCATAGCAAAACTGTCACAGAAAATAAATAAGTAATAAAAATACCTACAAAGTTATTTACTAAATAACATCCAAACTTAATTGTTTAGAAATTGGTTTATCTGGTAAATTACTTACCAGCAAAGTTTGAGAAAAATATTTCTATTACATTATCAGGCAGATACTGGGGGGTTAAATAATACTTCTCTGTTGTAGTTTCCAGTTTTTAAAGCTATATGTACAATACCAATATATACAGCGCTGTTCGACTTACGCTGGCTGATTACAGATTGCTTTATTATGTAGATGATGCAGGTGTCACTCGGCCTGCTTCCATTTTGGCTGCATTTGTGTCACTACTAAATATTTTCTGTAGGTAGTAAATGTTAACCGCTTTGTTGGTTATACTTTTAATAATTTTATAAGAACTATTGGCATATGCAATATATTGACTGGTAATACCTTTTTTCTTATTTAACCTTTATTATAACGCTACATGTTAGATTTACCCTCATTTTTACAGTTAAGAAAACTGGTACATACAAAGGTTTCAAGTCAGATTTTGTCAGCACTGACCGTGGCTGCTTGTATTACGTTGATGTGGGTCTCACGTTACAGTATGTGAACTGATGCTTTTCTGATGAATGGTTACTAGTGCAGGAGGGGAGAGTACTGTTGTAATTCTGATTTGCATTGTATATCTAGCTTTCTAGCTTTCTAGTAAAGATCCATTCAAAGTACAGGATGGACCACTGGGTTTTGGGGACAGCTTTATTAATGTAATGGGCAGTGATAACTGCAGTAACAAAAGTGTACAGTTTGATAAGCTTTGGCATGGTTAATCCTGTCGCTGCTCCCAGATAGCTAATTTGCCCAGGTTGTCCACAGCACTGGGAAGGGGCTGTCCATGATAACGAAGGCTGGACGCCTTAGTGTGCCCCATGCAATGCATGCAAGCACTCACTGCGAGGTACTAGCATTTTTTATTCTTTCTGTCTAAAGCAGTTGATGGATCCCACTGGCAGGAATGTGGAGAAGTGAAACAAAAGCAGGAACGTGTTTCAGAGTACAACAAGGGAACCTGAACTGTACAAGGCTCACTAAGCCTGTAGCTACAAAACCATTTCTTTCTTGATTGATAAAAATGCAGGTCTGTGAAAGTCTTAGCGTGCTGAACAAATAGTGTAACATTTGGCTTTAGAGGATAGCTGTGCTGTTTTTCTGATGATTTTTTATACCTGTAATGATAGCATAAAGTGATTTACATAATATGCTAAAGCAAATGAGTTTAAAAAAATCTCATGTTTTCTTTTGATCCTGTAGGATGTAGACGATTTCTTTGAGCATGAACGAACATTCCTTTTAGAATATCATAACCGAGTTAAGGATGCATCTGCTAAATCTGATAGGATGACAAGATCCCACAAAAGTAAGACTTCTATGCCTGAAGATTATACTTTAATTATAAAGTTAAGCTGTTACTTACAGTTTGTAAAAGTCTTGATACAGAATAGTGGTTCTCAAACTATGTTCTATGAAATCTAGGCCCCAAGCTCCTTTTACAGTGAATCTTTGAGGTCAAAACTGTTCTTATAATGTGTTTTGCCTTTTTCACTGTGTTACATTTACACTGATGATGCAAAGGAAAAAGTAGATAAAACTGCTGGTGCTTTTGTGCATGCAAGTCAAAGCAGTAACACCAGACTGTACTAATAGGTGTTATTTTAAATAATGTAACTTTCTCCCAGCACTCCGGGAAGGCAAGCCAGGATGATCACAAGTTTGAGCCCTACATTGGCTACTTGGAGACTCAGCAAGACACTGTGTCTAAAAAATAAAAAAGGGCTGGGGGTGTAGCTCAGTGCGGAGACCCTGGGTTCTCGCCCTGGTACTGCCAAATCAGTTAGTCAATCAGTTAAGACTGTCCTTGAAGAAGTAAAAATTGTAATAAATCTTCACACCCCTCCTTTGTTTGTTTGTTTTTACAATACTGGGGATTGAACCCAGGGCCTCTGCACTGAACTACATCCTCATCTTTTTCTTATTTTTTGAGACAGGGTCTTACTAAGTTGCTAGTTGCCCAGGCTGGATGCCAACTCGGAATCCTCCTGCTTCATCTTTCCAGAGTTCTGGTATTACAGACATATGGCGTCATGCCTCACTGGATCTTCACTGTTGAGCCCACTTTTAAAAAATATTCTAAGTGATGAAATGGGAGCTATGCATAAAGTACTTTAGCTTCATACTGAAGTGTGATGGTACTTAGAAAAGCATTTTAGTGATTCACTAGTGATTGAACCAATTGCTGCTTTTCAGAGAATGTCATTTTTACTTGAAACAACAACTGGCAAAGTTTCTAAATGGCCAGTGCATCATGCTACAAAATCATGTATTTAAAAGATCCATTCAAAGTACAGGATGGACCACTGGGTTTTGGGGACAGCTTTATTAATGTAATGGGCAGTGATAACTGCAGTAACAAAAGTGTACA